AATGTTCTGTGTTTTTTTTTTTTTTTTTTTGGTTTTTCTCAGGTACCGGGAACTGAACTCCCGACCTTGCGCTTGCCAGGCAGACGCTTTGCCGCTGAGCTAAATCCCCAGCCCCTGTTCTGTGTTTTGATCTACTGGTGTTCACATGGCACAAAATTTTTTGCGTACTTAATATATACTCATTTACTGTATATAGGTACCTGAGTTAAAAATATGCTTTAAAAAGTTTATAAAATCAAGGACATTGTGAATCATCTTCATTTGGAAATGCTGCCTAGTTGTAGAATCTTTTCCTTCTCAAACTTTGTTCATGGAAGAAGATGTGAAGCTTGTCGGTATTAAGTGACATGTTCGTATGATCAGTAATTAGGAGGCCTGGGAGGAAAACGGGACCTGTGTTTTAGGATTCTAAACCTACTGCTGACTCGAGGGCACTGAGTTTTTTGTTATGTTTTGTTTCTGTGAAATTAGATATAGAATTTGCCATATTTTTATGGCAACCATAGGTACATAAATGGCATTCTTTTTAGTTATACAATTTTTTTGAAAAATAGCAGTAATATATTTGATGAGTAGACATTAAAATTTGTTTAGTTTCAAATCATAGATTTAAACTTTGTTTTCTGCCTCCTTATTTTTCACCAAATAATTTCTTACATATATTAACATTATAATAATATATTATAATTTCTCATATGTCAACTCTTACTTAAGTCCTTGCAGTGAAAATATCAGTGTAAACTATTGAAATTTATGTTTCTTTTTATTAGCTATGGAGAGAAGTGTTTTCTTGCTTACTTAGTTCTACAGTTATACAGATGAATGCAGTAGCAAGTAAGATTACCTTTCTTTTCTAGAAGTTAACTAAGAAAACAGAAATAACATTCTTGGACAAATATACTATCTTGTTCCAGATTGCTTATGCTAATACCAGAATTCTAACAATGTATAGACAGATAAACCAAATAAATTAAAATATTCAGAAATATGAGGAAGTGAGAAGAATTTCGTAGCTCTTAAGAAGGAGCCTTTGTATCTACTGCAGAAGGTTGTACTGACACAGTAGACCCTGTTTCTTAACATGGCGTGAAAGGAAAGGCTCCTCAGAAGAGGGCTGTTTTGCTTTTGACTTCCTGGAGTCCTGGGAGAGTGAGTTCTACAGCACAAACAAACCTGTTTCTGTTGCTCAGTCTTTGATGTGGATGTTCCAGAACCAGTACTTTCAGTCTGGGATGTGTGCTCTGAGTCCTCATTTCCAGAACATGCCAAAACTTTAACAGTCCTATTATTTCATTTTTTAGGGGCTCAGGTATTCAGTATTATAGTATTGTTCATATTTACTATTCTATTAACTTCTGAGTAGAAAAAAATACAATTATTTAAGATATAAAGAATCATAAGATATAAAGATACAAATTATACACAGGAATTATTTAAGATACAAAGAATCATAGGAAATTGTACTTTCCATGATGTTTAGGAACTTTACTACATTACCTTGATATCCCCTTTATGTGTTTTTTTAAATTCTATGATTTTCCCTCAACTTCTGAGAGATAAATGCTTTCTTAAGCTTTTCTTTCCTTTACCTCACTTTACATTTATATTTTTGGCCACATATGGTTGTATCACTGTACAGCATTTTATATTGCTTGGACTCTTGACATCTTCATGCTTCAGACTTGGTTTTTCACTCAACATATGGTCCTGAGATTCCTCGGTCATTACTGCACATAGCTGTAATTGATGTTCAGTTGTGTCTTGTAGTCCATTACACGAATGAACGTTCGGATTGTTTTCAGGGGTTTATTAGAAGCAATACTGTTAAGAACATATACATGTACCACGGATATTTATTATAACTTAGGAAGAGGAAGTGCTGAGTTGCAGAGGAAGTCAGGCTTATTTGCATGTAATAGAATAAGGTATATTTCTTCTCTTTCCTATAGGGAAATCTGAAAGAGGACTGAGTGCAGTGTAGACATTCTTATCTTAATCCGCAGATCTGATCATTTATTCCCTATATTTGAAATACTGTAAGCTAGTGGTGTTAGTCTGTGTGAGCATTAGAACAGAGGTCAGTGTCACTGTACTGAAGTCTCTCTTTAAAGAGAGACCAGCAAAAGAAGCCCTGTGAGCTTTATTGTTTACACAGCCTGGAAGCTGTCACTGAGTCCTTAAAGTGAAGCGTGACATTGTGCAGTGATGCGCTAATGGACAGAGGAGTACGGAACAGAATCGAGGATGTCCTTTGGGAGGTTGACAGAGCCCATTACGGACGTAATGTCACACTGCAGTGAGATGGAGCTGAAGCCTTCCAGAGCACAGGCACACTTCCTGTGAGACACAGGACTTGACACAGATGGCACAGCTGGCTTCTTGAGCAGTTGGATTCAGACCATTTATGAGCCCATCAGAATACTGAGTGGCAGGACAAGGTTAGCAGCAGCAACACGTGGAAGGCAGCCTTGTCCCAGCTCTGAAATAACTCTGCAGCACAACTTAGCTGGATGCGTGTGCAGAATGGACTGCAGCAAGGCTTCTGAGCGACTTTTAAATAGCGGAGGTGAGGACACACGAGCTGAGAAGGGAGGACTGTCTCAGCATTCACTGCCGTGCGTCGCAAGCAGGGAGGCCTCGTGGGCAAGGCCAGCCGCTGAGGAGCAGCCTGCATGCAGTGTGAGGGCTGGGCTTGCTGTTGAGAGCGTGGGCTTCAGGCTGGCTGTGCAGTCTAAAAAGCAGGACCACAAACACCGCCAGGCACAGCGGCTAACAGAAGGGAAAACTTGGTGTGTCCTGGGTGGAGAAGATTCTTAGTCTCATTTCTGTCTTTGGCCATAGCCATGAATCAGACTATGGAAAGAAATGTATGTGTGCGCTTGCGTGTGCGCGCACACACACACACACATGCACACACAAAAGTGTTGTTCTCCACTTCTTACCACCGCTATGAAAACAGAAAAAAAATTCAGTTAAAAGAATAGTTGCATTGAAATACTAGAAATAGAGCAACTTATCATAAGATTTTTATTCTTTGCCAATCTCAACACATTTTCATATTATTGACAGAATGCTTAAAAGACAAATAGTGCCCTGCAGCCAATAATGTAATAATTTTTAAAAATTTGAAGTGCCTTGTAGCCATTTTCTTATACACTAGTCTAGTTCCTTTCGTGTGGATTTCTTTCACAAGATTGCTTATTTGTTTTTGTCTTTCCTAGTGCCCACAGTGGAGGCTATATACTAACTGTGTTTACCTGAACTTCAAAGATTGCGATGTTAGTGTATGGTTACCTAACAGGGTGGAGCTTTCACCAGCCATTCTTATCCTTAATAGTTTCAGGTAGTATCTAATTCCAGCCCTCTGAATAAGCTGTATTGTACTTGCAGTACATCAATATTTTATGTATATATATATGTATATATACACACACACACACACACACACACACACACATACACATACATTTGTCTTTTTGAGACAGGGTCTTGCTGTGCAGTTCAGCCTGACCTTGAGCTCACTTTGTAACCCAGGCTGGCCTCAAACTCGCAACGATCCTCCTGCCTCAGCCTCCCGAGTGCTGGGATTACAGGCGTGCGCCACCACACCTGGTGATAATTTCTTTCTTTATTTTTTTTTTTACATCTTTTGTATTCCAAATTTACAGTCTTTATGGCTTTTCTTTCATTTTCCTAGCCTGATAGATTCATTGACTTAAGCAGTGTGTCACCTTTTTTTAGGAGTGAAATTCTGATGAGTCAAGGTGAATTAACGCATTTGGTGCCAAAAGGTGCAGTTTTTAAAAACTTTTGGCATGAAATTCATATATGCTATGTAGGAAAATTCAAGGAACACAAATTTGAAGAGAAAATTTTTTATTTCATTGGATGGTTTGTGGCATTCCAAAAAGTGGAACATAGGCCTAAAAAGGTTGAAGACCTTTGGCTGGGAACAGGATAACAGATATCATATGTGGTGAAAAGGCAATATGCATAAGGTACTTGACACACTACAAGTGTAAGGATATCCATCAAGAGAGAAAAGGTAGGGATACAAAGGAAGAGACAGTTCAGGAAAGAAGAACTAAAATTAGACACAGAGTAATAAAAAGTCTCTCACCTAAATCCAGAGAGACAACTAAATTGTGTTGATAAACTTTAAGACTTCATTATTTGGGCCAGACGTGGTGGGACATGCCTGTAATCCCACTTGGGAGGCTGAGGCACAAGGGTGGCTGTGAGTTCAAAGCCACTGGGCTGCAGAGTGAATGCAAGTCCAGCCTGAACTGCACAGTGAAACCCAATCTCAAAACGACAAAAAAACTGCACTATTGGAAGGAAACATGTTTTATATTATATGAAACAAAACATTTCTTTATATGCATAGTTAAACTTTTATACTTATCAGAATTCTTAATTACATTTGGAGGGCTGTATACTTTGGATGAACCTTATTTTTAACACCCTCAAAACATGAATAATATTTCTACATATAAATTAACTTTGTTGTCAAGAAGATTATGTTTTTAATCTTTGCCATTTGTAACTCGGCACATTAAATGTTGAGCAGAGAAAATCATTTTAGTTATAAAAAATAAATTAGTAAACTGTGCCAATAATTAAATTCTTGTCCTTTTTCTAAGCTTTTAATGCTTTTTAAGAATCTCTTCTTGGATTAGGACAGTAATGAATAAGGGTATTGACTTTCCACTATCCTACTAAAATTATTAGATGAGGGTCTGTATTGCCCTCTGTTGGTGACTAAATTTTTCACAAAATAATTGCCATTTATGTATTGTTTATGTGTATTTAATGATTGTGTCAACACATGTACTTTAGATAAAAAAATTTAAAAATCAACCTAATAGTTAAGGCTATGAATTGACAAAAAGTGGAAATAGGAGATTTTGAGCTTTTTGTTTTATTGATTAAGCTGGTATTGAAATACTTTTGTCTTTGATTAATTTTTGTTTTATTTTATTTTATTTTTTTTTTGTCAGAGCTCCACCTCAAATCAGGCGTCCCAGTCGAGAAGTAAGACCTCTGAGGAAAGAAATGGCAGGAATAGGAGCCCGGGGACCGGTAGGCCGAGGACATCTGATATCCAAGAATGAGAAACCTCCTACAAGTAGGGACAAGGATTATAGAACGAGAGGGCGGGATGACAAGGCAAGACTGTCTCTTCATAATTTGCTCACTCGCAGCCAGCGGCTTTGATGATTGTTATGGTTTCCTTAGGCTTTTTAGGTTTTGGTGTGGAAGAGTTAAAGGAAGATTCAAAACTGAAATGGCCTTTATTTGTTGAAGGCCTTGCTACAATGCAGGTAACCTCGGATGTAGAGTAAACACACACACACACAGAGGTGTAAAAATAGTAAAGTGAATCCTTTATAGAAGTATTCTGAATAGAGTTTGAAAATTTTTGGAAAATATTTTAACAAATACTCTGAATGAAAATGAACAGTAAGTGAAAACATAATTGAAGGAGACATAAAAAAGTAGATGTACATATTCACAGACCAAGATGAGGGGTATGATTTTCTACTGTTAAAAATAAAAAGTACCTTTTATTTAGCTGGAAGTACAGAGTTGAGTGATACATATTTTTCTTTAATAAAATTTCCCATAGTTAATGCTAATTGTGGGCATGTATGTACTTGGGAAATTGAATGACAAATAAATACAGTAGTATATGGAAATTCTCTGTTGCCTGTGAAATGGACAGTGAGTTGAAGAGGATCTTATAAGCTAGCCAGAATGATCTGATGCATCTCTTAGCCTTAGTTTTAGTGAAAGGCTTTAGTTTCATGAAAAATTTTTTAGTGATAGTATTTCCATTCCTTTGTGATGTCTTAAATGGAACTTTTGTCTGTACGTCACATAGCACAAGAAAAGAATGTCGCTATGGTTTATTGGATATTTCTTTGCTAGGATACATTCAGAGTAATCACACAATAATTCATGAAACAATCCTGCAAAGTAGGTACCTTATACCCATTTTACAGTTGAAGAAACTGGTGGCAGAGAGCTAAAGTAACTTGCAAAGGAAGAAGACTGGGATGAATGGAGTCTGGATGGAGTCTGGAAGAATGGAATTTGTGAAGTCATAGTATTTTTGTCCTGTTTACTTGAAGCCTTTTCATACTGTGTCATATTCCCTTACCAGGCTAGATTCTGAGAATCTGGATTGGATTGAAAAAAGAAATCCAGGATAATTAAATATTGAGTTTAAAGTGTGACAGCTCTTAAGCTAAGAACAAAACCAAGCAGCATTTGTTGAATGCCAAATATATTTTTTTCTGGAGATTGTAACAAGTCTTTGATTTACAATGTTTCCAAATAATTTTCTAAGTCTTAGTTATCCTTTCATTGGTGTAAGTACTGAGAGTGTTACTGAAAAACAAGTCATATGTTTCAGACAAAAGTCTGCAGTTGTTTTGCAGATAAAAGAGATTTTCTGAGTCACTGTGGAAATAAAAGGGACTAGAATTTTTAAAAAACAAACTCATGGAAACTTTATTTGAATTTGAGAGGTATAATCTGCTGAATTCTGATTTTCATGACCATTGAAGTATTCGTTAGAATACTACCATCTCAAAAACAAGCTGAGCGCCGTGGGTAGGGTGTGAGGCAGCCTCGGTAAATCTGACAGATAACTCACTTCCATGAAGGCTCATTTGAAAGTGGATATTGTATATATCCTCAGAAGGGTGGTAGTCTTCTGCTCTCTTTTTCTTAGTAGGTTTTGTGTTTCATCTAACTTAAAGAAAAGAAGCAGGATCGACTAGAAAATTTAGAGTCCATTACCCATAGTAAAAATAGTATTATTTTGAGTAACAATTATATAAGTATATGAAAATTTAGTTATAATGAACATAGCTCTTGATCTAAAACAACATTTACAGCCGGGCGTGGTGGCACATGCCTGTAATCCCAGCACTCTGGAGGCTGAGGCAGGAGGATTATTGTGAGTTTGAAGCCAGCCTGGGCTACAAAGTGAGCTCAAGGCCAGCCTGAACTGCATAGCAAGACCCTGTCTCAAAAAGACAAAAAAAAAAAAAAAAAAATTACTACTTTGTGTTATGGTCAGAATTTGGATAGTTGCTGCTGTGTTCCAGTTAACTTGTAGATGTAAAAAAGTGAGAATAAGAGAAGTCATTTCTCTTGTCTAAGTTCTCTGATATTTGGATTTTTAGTTTAGTAACAAATGTTACTCTTCTTGAGCACACTTAACCCTTTTTGGAGCTTTCTACAAATAACTGCTTTTGAAGATTTATATATATATGGATTTATTTGATCCCTACACTCGCCTGTGAGCTGAGCATAATTTCTATTTTATAAACTAAGAAGTTGAAGCACATAATCTTAACTGCAAGTAAATGATGGGGCCAGAATTTGAATCTTAACTATAATGTCAGAGCTTTTAATCATCATGTGAAACATGTTTGCTATTTTTTTTTATTTACCATGAATATTTCTTTCTAATAAGAGTACTAGTTCATTTTCTAATAGCAACTACATTATCATTGTAATTATTTTGCTTTTTTAAACTGACAAGCTTCAGGTTAGGTTCATGGTAAAAATGCTATTTTTAAATAATCATTACTTTTCATAGTGATCGATTGTTGAAGCCTTACTGTTTGTCTTCCCTTGAGGTTCACAGGGTCATCCGTGAGGTCGTTTTGTAACCCTGTTTGCTTAGTAGTACTTGTCCTACGTACGTTTATTCCCCTGTGTGGAGCTGGTGCCTGTACCTGAAGCACCCTCGTTCCTTTTGCATCCCCGCCCCCCTCCCGCCTCCCCTGTGCCTCTATCTCTTCTTGATCTTCATCCCCTGAGAACGATCTATCTCTAAACTTCCTCGTTTTTATTTTGCTCTTTATTTATATTTTGGATTTCACATATAGGAGAAACCAGAGCTTGTGTGTCTGGTTTATTTCACTTCACATTATGATCTCCAAGTATATCCATTTTCCTACAGATGACTAAGTTTTCTTTGTGGCAGAGTAGTAGCCCATTGTGTAAATACCGTATTTTCTTTGTCCATTTTTCAGTTGAAGGAAGGCTGATTCCAAGACTTACTGTTATGCATTATGTTGCTATAAATACGGGTGTTTACACACCACTGTAATATGAGGTCTTTAACTCTTTCAGGAAGATACCTAGAAAGGGAATAGCTGGATTGAATGGAATTTCTGGGTTTAGCGTTTTGAGGAATCCATAGTGCTTGTACTAGTTTACATTCCTTTCAACAACACCGAAGTCTTTCTTTCCCCACAGCTTCACTGTCATTTGTTAGCATTTGATTTCTTGATGATAGCCATTCTTTATGGAGTAGGGTGGAACCTTTGTGTTAATTTAATTTGCATTCTCTAATGTCAGTGATGTTGAGCATTTCTTTATGTATTTACTGGCCACTTGAATTAATTCTTCTGCATAGCATCTGTTTATTTTACTTTCTCAATTTTTGACTGGGTCTTTTATTTGGGGGATCTAGTTTTTTCTTTTTGTTTTTTATATATTCTAGATATTAGTACCCTGGGAAGTAGCTGGTAAATTTTTGTTCCCATTCTGGAGATACTCTGTTCACTCCACTGTTCTTATGCTCTGCAGAGACCTTGATCACGATATGATTAGGAAGATCATGGTAAGGTCCCGTTCGTTGCTAAGTACTTTTCCTGTGGAACCAGGGTTCTGTTCAGAAAGTCCTGGCCTGGACATATGATTTCAAGAGTTTCACTTACTTTTTATCTTCCAGCAAGTTGTTTCTGTTTTAACATTTAGTTTCTCAGTCCATTTCGATTTTAATTTCATATGTGGTAAGAAATACGGAGTTCGGGTTAATGTTAAATGCAATCTATTAGTGGAAAATATTTTGGTTAATTTGATTCAGACTAGACCTGGGGTCCTCATGTTTTGCTTAGGTGAGAGCTACTTTATTTTTCCCTTGAGCCTTTATAATAAAACAGCTGTGGTGGTGAAGCACAGGGGTAGAGGATGAACAAGGACTTCGAGGATGAGAAAGGAGTTAATGTCTGTCGAGTGCTTAGTACAGTGCCTGGATAGTATAGGAGTTTTGGCTGTCAATCTAACATGAAAGTGAGATATGAAAGAGAATACACAACCACTTTTTTTAAAAAAATAAGTAAGTAATGAGGTGAATTCAAGGAATTTTGTACGAGCTTTGGGCCATTGAATCCAGTTAACAGATGAGTAAGTTTGATGAATAAGAGATGGTGGCTGTACAGGACCAAAGGTCGCATTCCGCTGAGACATCCTGGTGACTGGACTGAGTGAGTGTGATGACTACTGCGGAACCACGGGTCCTCGTGTCAGGTCACTCGCTGCCAATCAGGCGGGTTGACTTCTTCGTTGGACAAAACTTTTTGTTAGAAAAGTTCTTTTTTTTCCTGATCCTGAAATCTACTTCTTTTTGTTACTTTCTTTCTGATCCTGGTTCTTTGCTTTGGAGTAATGTAGAGCAGACTGGAGGGTTGTGTTGCTTCACTAGCAGTTTTTTCTTCAGTTTGGATATCTTGGGTTTGTTTGGCCCTCTTCTATATGACGTAGTATTTTTTATCCCATTCCCACCCTAGTCAGCCTTCCCTGGGTATAACCAGAGTGACTAACCAGATTCACATTATCTGCCAGTGTGAGAGGCTGCACGGTACAATGCAGAAACCATTATTTGTATTTTGGGCCAAGCTGTATCAGTCGTTGACTCTGTAGTATTTGGTTGGTTATTTGAAATGAGCCTCTGTTGAGGCTCATTTTCTGCAATAGAATGATTAGCCAGTACTAATAGAAGATATTTAGTAGAACTTTCTTGATATGGATGATTTAGATATTAATAATAAACAGCTAAAATATTTTGCTTTCAAGAGGAAAAAAAAGCTTTTCAACCTTCATGCTAAATATCAAATTCTTGCTAACAACACTGGGCTTAGTCAACTGGTGAAAATCCAAGGCAGGAATTCTAAGATCACTTGAGACTCACTGCAGTTAGTATTATGAGTGAGATTAGCTTTATTGCTTGAAAGCTAAAGTGTTTTAGGTGTTGCAGTTAACTAACTGGTTAACTGATACCACAGTTGTTTATCTATGATGTCCATATTCTAATTTATCTGTGTATTTGTTACAAGAGTAATTGTCACCTATTTGTCTTATTTAATTCCAGTTTTCCTAAGTCTGTTTCTCCTATTACCTTATCATTTGCTTTGAAAAAGTTTCTAAACACAGAGTATCTCTTCCTCTACCATTGGGAAACTGAGTTCTTGGGCAGATTGTTTGATGAATTTATACCTGTGTTTCTTCTGCGCAGTGAGAGGCTTTTACTTTATTCATCACCTCCTCCTCCACCAGACCCTTTTCCCATCCCATCGCCGGCAAGGTCCTCTAGAACTCTTAATCGTATTGTGTCATTCTCGTGCACTTAGTGTAAAACCCAGGACTGACTTCTACCCACATCTCCTACATCTTGCATCTAGTCAATACCTTTTAGCCACGTGGACTAATCAGTTTTTTCATAACACTTGAAAATTTATGATTGTGTGTGGGTTTGCTTTGTTTACTTGCGTTTTCCTGCGCTAGACTAGATGCTTGATGAGAGCACACGGTGTATTTTCATTCACTGCTCTAAAACCCAGGGCACAGAACGATGTGGTGCTCTTAGTAGATGCTCAGATCTCTGTCCTTGAAATCCTGTGATCCTGTTGCAGGCAGACAGGTATGCAGCTTTTCTTTTCTCTTGGTAGTGTTTGTCAAGTCCTCCCCTGCCACTTGGACTCTAACATTACAATGAAATTTTAAATTTAATTTGCTGTCTCAAACTACAATTTCCCTGTGAAGACTTGTTAAGCCTCAAATTAATTTATGTTGCATTATTTAGTTGATTTATTTCTAGAGTAATTTTTAAATGATTACAATGTGTTCCCAGTGAATCGTTTGAATGAGACTTTGTAGCCTTGGCCTGTCCTTCTATAAAATGTGACTCTGGGCTGAGTTTATTTTGAATTTGTTGGTGTTATATTTGTTGTACAGTTAAGCCAGAAATTTATTCCTTTCAGTAGTGTCAGTACTGATATATGTCATCTGAAATGTAAGAATCATACTGAAAGTTAGCTTGCTAGTGCTGTCATACTTCCCAGATACAGTGAATTATTTATTTTGGGGGTCAAGTACTGCAGTGCTGTTTCGTCACTTACTTAGTTGCTAAAGTAACAAGAGCACCTGCCAAAGGAAGCTGTTTAGTTCTCTCTTAGTACTTAATGCACCTGCCATTTATCTCAGAAGAACTGGGATGAGAGAAGTCCGTTATGTCCTATTGTCTCTCTTCAGTTTGATGTTCAGGAGATTGACTCACTTTGACCTTTCTTCCTCTTTATTTTTACCCCAGACAGGAACTCCTGAGCTGATGGTCTGAGGATGTCCTTGGCTCTGCCGCTAAGTAGTTTCTGTAGTTGAACTGTCTGGCAGATCAGTGTGTTCCTTTTAAAGCTCTTCAAATTTAAAGTTCTTCAAAGCTGAGCAGCACCTCATTATTAAATCAAGAACTTGTGGTAAAGCATATTGGTTTAATGCCCTTAATAATATGATTTTTAAAGGTCATTTTACCAGTGTCATTACAGTGACTTTATTATGTGGCCCAAGGACCGTACTGGAAGAAACTCGGAATCCTGAGGGCTCACTTATAGTAAAAAGGCAAAAAAGGTGCAATTGTAGAGTCCCAAACCTTTCTTCACCTGCCACCTCTTTCTTGGATGCTGTGAGAGTAGTTCCGCGATCCACAGCTGCTCTTAGGCTTTAAGCAACAGAGTCAAGGCCTCAGACAATCTCATGTGGAATGGTGTGGGCTTAAGATGCAGGAAGACCTCAATTTAAATCTCTCCCTGGCATTTATTTGTGATCTTAAGTTACTGAACTTCTGTGAGGGCTAGTTGCCTTATCCATAAAAACAAGAAAAATTAGTGGCTACCTTGTAGGAACATTGTATTAAATGAGATGATGTATGTGAGATTTTTCTGCCAAATGGTAGGTTCTCAGTAAATTAATTTGTTCGCTTGTATGTTGCTACTTTATTCTCTAGCAGTGGTGGAAATTCTCCACGTCTATCAGTTGGGCTTTCCCAGTCTGTTGGCATCTAGCAAAGATTATCTTGGTTTTACCTGTAACTCTCTCTCGAAGAATGTAGATTTGATGATTTTTATAATAAATGTAATCAGTTGAGCTCTTTCTAATTAATTAAATAGAGGATGGCATTTAAATAATCAGAAACTACTACTTTAAATTGTAAGAAAATACTTTAAAAGTGATCATATTGTACTGTTTTGAAAGCTTAATGTTGTTAAAATTGCCCTGTTGCTGACCAGAATTTATTTTATGGCTCTTCCCAGGTAAGGAAAAATATGCAAGATGGTGCAAGTGATAGTGAAATTGCAAAATTTGATGGTGCCGGCTATGATAAGGATCTGGTGGAAGCACTCGAGAGAGACATTGTATCCAGGAATCCTAGCATCCACTGGTTAGTATTTTAAGTTCTTGAATTAAAATAGAAGAAAAAACAGGTCATAGTGTGGTGTGGTGTCTTTTCTTATTACCCATTAATTTCCTGATTATGTCATGAGTATGCAGAATTGGCAGGACAGTTGTGTCAGAGTGTAGGAAAGGGCATTTTATGTGTTAATTTGGTTATTGACATTAATTGACAAAGGTCATTAATTGAATAACATAGTAATTATTGATACCTGCAGTGTTTTCACTGATCATTTTATGCAGTTAGAATAATGTTCTTAATATAAGGATAATTTCATAAGTAAATAAATGAAAGAATTGCTTTTGACCATAAATCAAAGGTGCCCTTGAATACACATTACAAAACTTTGTTGTTGCAAAGGGATGACATAGCAGATCTGGAAGAAGCTAAGAAGTTGCTGAGGGAAGCTGTTGTCCTTCCAATGTGGATGCCTGACTTCTTCAAAGGGATTAGAAGGCCGTGGAAGGTAAGAGTTTAGTAGGAGGGTGTTAGTTTAAGGGTGCTGCTTGCACAGAGATGATGTGTTTCACCTAGTTTGGAAGTCAGGGGAGGTTTGTGTACGCCCGAGCACCTGGCTTTCAATCTGTAGGTGAGACGTGCGGCGTGAAGCTGGGCTTGGGATGTTGACACTGTGCTCTTTAGTCTGTCACTTCCTTTAGGTGCTGAGCTCGAGGCCAATTTCAAGAATTTTCTAAATAACTGTTTCTATAAGTAGAAAGTGAAGCAAATTAAGCAGTAATAGTACACAGTCTTAGAAGTATTTGAGCAAATAAACCCGTTTTTAAAAGTTGGTGTGTTTCTCACTAATGGTTATTTATTTTGATCATCATTTAATCTAGGCTCCGTATATTTATTAGACAAAATCAGAGTGTTTGTTTCTTTCCAGCTTGCCCTCTGCTGTAGAGGTTAAAGCCCACTCAGGAGTAGTTCCACTTCAGCTCAGCATTTTCACTTCAGCATATTAAAAACCTCTACCAAGCTGGCTGGAGCTTTTACTTTTGTTTTTGTTTCTGTTTTTATTTTTATTTGGTCTTAGCCATAGGTGTGATCTAACTGTGCCCTTTGACCTGGCTAGAAAAGTCTGTCCCTTCCCCTGCCTCTGCTTCTGCTCCATGCCCGGAAAGAAAAGGGGAAACATTGTGTATTTACCTGATCAGTTTGGAACATTCATGGCATTTTGAGCGCCTCTCACAACTTGAAGATGTTTTTTCCACTTAACATATTTTTAAATTTTTATTTGACGCATATGTATGAGTTGTGATCAAAATACACAGTAAATGTTTAAATTAAACAAAAAAATTAATAGAAGACATAGTGCCATTAATCTCCCTCAAAATACTCCCGCTTCCTAAGGGAAGGACAACAGCTTCCCTTAGCTTTGAATACTCTTATCATGCATGGAAGCTCTTCCAGGCTGTCATGTCCGAAGGCTTCTGGTTTGCTTTCCCTTCTCTCCTCACCCCTGGCCCGCCCACTCCCTCCCCTCTCCTCCTCCTCTTTGCAGTAGCTGGGATTGAACTCAGGATCTTTTGCATGCTAGGTAAGTGTTACGTCACTAAGCTATACTCCACCCCAAGTATTGAGAGTCCCACTAAGGTCCCACTAAGTTGCCCAGGCTGGCCTCAAACTTTAGATCCTTCTGCCACAGTCTGGCAAGTAGCTGGGATTATAGGCACACCCCGCCATGCCTAGCTCAGTGTACTGAGCTTTCATTAGGGTCTCATCATGTAAGCATGATGAATTGTATCATCACCACTCCCCTTTTCCTCCTTAAACGTTGAGTTGCTACCAGTGGCTCAAAACGCGATCTTTAATCATATGGTTCGTGCTTCTGGAGTGGTCAGCTCTCATCCCGTGTCTCATGTGCGAGTGTAAACTCTACCGCGACCCTGCACGAGTTACCTTATTAGCATAAAGTGTCAGAGCCCAGCATGGAGAACCAAGACACCCCTGCACTCACTAAATTCCAAGGCTCTAGAGGCTGCTTTCCAGATACTGGAGACAAAAGCCAAATCTTTATCCTGCAGAGGACAGCGCACTGATTCTGAAAACCGATGTGAGAGGAGCAGGTTTAAATAGAGACAAAATGTGTTTAGGTGAATACTCAGCAGGTAAGGTCTGCAACTTGGGGTAGAGTTTGAGTTTAAATTTAAACTATAAGATATAAGTGGTAGTTGATGGTATGGTTATGGCATTTGTTCAGGACTTTTGTAAAAGGAAGTGAGCAAAAGACTTAGAATTGCTTTGGAAATATAAAGGGTAGGGGAGGAGAAAATGTGAAAGACACTGAAAATAGCCAGGATAGAAGTGTTGGGAAAACAGCAGTGTCAGAGAACCCAGTGCCAGGGCGGGCTAGGGGGGTGTCCAAAAAGCACGGGAGGAGGGTGACGCCCATGTATCAGAAGTTTCGGACCCCAGAGGCAAGGCAGGGGGCAAGATTGGAACAGGGCCATTGCAGTAGTAAATTAGCTAATTTTAGTGAAATGATAGAGACTAAAGTCAGACTGTACCCTGTGAAGAAGAAATAGTGAGCATAAATCACTTCTTTATTGACTGTGAAAGGAAGGAGAGTTGAATACTAGCAAGAGAATGTACAGGATCAAGTGAAGGATTTTTTAAAAACTGGGACAGATTTGTATGTGCTTCTGTACTGCGGAAAAAGAGCCCGTGGACGAGGAGATGCAGGACAGACAGGAGATGGCTGAAGGAGAAATGTCCCGAGGTGATGAAACCTACAGGTACTGCCCTGAATCTGTGTGTGGCTCCCGGTGTCAGAAGTCAGCTCCTGCTGGAGGCGGTCACGTTACTGCCGGTACAGGAACTAGGAGGGCGTTGAGCGGGGGGTGTTAGAGCAGTGTGAGCCTGGCTGTGTGTGTGCCCGGTAACAGTGCCTGCGACGTCGGTCTGCGTCCAGTGTTCCGAACCTCGGCCTCACGGTTAAAGTCTCCCTACAAAGCCAACCGAAATTTTTATAAAACTAGTATTCCAACTAGGTGTGGTAGTGCGTGCCTTACTCCAGTAGGAAGGGAGGCTGAGGCAGAAGGATGACTTCAAATCCAACCTGAGCGATTCTGTGAGTTTGGGAGACCCTGTCTCAAAATTTTAAAATAAAATTAAAAAATAAAAAGGGCAGGAGATACAGCTCATCGCAAAGGCCCTGAGTTCAGTCCTTGGTACCACCCCGCACCCCCACGATTAAACACACAAAACAAAACTCCAGTGTTTAAATTCTAAGTGATCCCTGATTGCTTTGTGTATCAGAATTTTCTGGCTAGGAAGCGGTTTGGACATTTTTGAATTTGGAGTTTATGGGACTTAAATGTATACATAGTTTTCAAAATTTAAACCTCCAGAATCTTAGCAAACTAAATTAACAACTAGCCAAGAATTCCTCTTCCCTGTTCTATATTAAACTGTTACGACAAAAAAATAGTATTGACTGTGTAGCTAAACTCTCATTGAATGTGTGAGAAGATAATATTTAAAAATTCATTCATCTCCAAGACTTAGAGGATTCTTTTCCTTGAGTCATTTTTGTGCCTCACTGATTCGTTTTTTGTAGAATACTTTGTTTTCAAAAGTAAGAAGTGTTTAGTTTTCAGTCTACATGCAGTGACTCTTTCATCAGTAACATTTTTTAATGTGTGTGCCGCAGAACACGTTAAACTGATGCATGCGTAGCTCATTTGATTGAACTACCATTGGAGTTGACTGTTAGCTGAGCTCCTAAGTGGATCTTTTTTTTTTTTCCACTATAAACTGTATAAGTGGATCGTGTAAGGTTGAATTAGTCCCTTGCAGGGAATGTGTGGTTCTGCGTGCAATAGGCAATACCTTGTTTTCATTGTTTAAACAGAGCAGTCGCTCTTAAGTGGTACAGTAGACTACACAGAATTGTACTGAGCTCAGGAAAGGTTCTTTCTAAAGGTACCAGAAGGTTCTTCATAGGAAAATCTTCATGTACTTTAACGTTAACAGTGGCTGGATTATGAAAAAAACTTCATCTGATCAGTCGTCTTAAATGCATCTTTTGGAAATTTCAGGGTGTGCTGATGGTTGGACCCCCAGGCACTGGGAAGACCATGCTGGCTAAAGCTGTTGCCACCGAGTGTGGCACAACGTTCTTCAATGTTTCCTCTTCTACACTGACGTCTAAATATAGAGGTGAATCTGAGAAGCTGGTCCGTCTGTTGTTTGAGATGGTGAGTGATGGTGCCTGCAGATCCTTGTTTGCGTAGGCAGCTGATGCTGCCCTCTTACTCTAGTCTGTTCACCGGGGAGCCTCTGTGAAAAGGGCAGTGTGGTGGCATTCTAGTAGTTTGGACACACTAATGAGAAGTGGGTGGTGGGTTTTGTGGGATAATTGGTGTGCCTTCTGTGTGTCTTCCTCTGTGAAGTAGAAGGCCCTTTGGTATTCCGCCCAGTGGAAATGAAAACACCTTGCTAAATGTGGGGTGATTGATGTTTCGTCATGTCTAGTGAGCTGGTGGAACAGAAAAAATACTTTTAAAGTTTTTAAAAATCAGTTAGAAATTGTTATGTAATTAAGTGTATTTCTTTAAGGCTTGAGGATAGAGGTTGATTTATCTTCTAAAGAAATTTTCATTATGGAAATTTCCAAACATAAAAGTGATAACAATAGTATAGGAACCCGATGTATCTATCGTGCAACTTCACCAACCATAAAGACTTTCAGAGATTCCTTTTTTTCTGGTGTGACTACCTCAGTCAGCCTCTTTAATAACTAGGTGGTAGCAGCATGAAAGCAGTGTGAACTTCCAGCTTTTCATTTTTGAAAAGGAGGTCTAGTGCTTAGATATGTTTGGATTGCTTTACAAAATGATTGATTTCTTTAAAATATTTTCTCAAAGGCTAGGTTTTATGCCCCCACCACAATCTTCATTGATGAAATCGATTCCATCTGTAGTCGAAGAGGGACCTCTGATGAGCATGAGGCGAGTCGCAGAGTGAAGTCTGAGCTCCTCATTCAGATGGATGGTAACTAACATTTAATTGCTCTCTTTCAGTTTTGAACTTTTTTGTTTTCCAGTACCGGGAATCGAACTCATGATCTCGTGCTTGCTAGGCAGGCACTGTGCTGCTGAGCTAAATCCCTAGCCCCTTGAACTTTTTTTCAGTCTTTGGAAGTTCTCAGTATGCGAAGTAGAAGATAGCTGGAATTTATTCGTTTATTCATATACTCAACTTCGGTTTTTTCATGAATTACGAAGGCCCTTACTGCATACTTACAGTGCACTGTGAAGCACTCCTGGTTGTGAGGTTACGGAGGAAAGGCCTACCATGGCCTGCAAGGACCTTAGAGCAGAGGCTCTAGGGATGTGCTCTAGGGTCCCACGGTCCTGATCCCCTTTGAAAGCGTCTGCAAGGCATAGACTATGTTGCTAGTAATACCAAGAAGTGATTTGTCTTTTTCCCTCTCATTCTCTCACAAGTATACAGTGGATTTTCCAGCAGCTGCACAACCTGACAATATGATAAAAGTTGGAAAGCAGAAGCAGATGTGAGAATCTAGCTGTTTTCTCTACAGTCAATGTTAAAATGTTTCCAAAAACCTGATACAATTTTGGGGGGTTTTGAAAAATATACCCATTTTTCATAAAAATTTTATTTGTTAACAAGTAATACATTTATTTTTAAAATGAATAATTTGAAATTTTGTTTTAATTTCTAATGGTAAATATTGATCAATAAACTCCACCACACACACACACACACACACACAGAGAGAGAGAGAGAAAACCTCTTTGGAGTTCCCAGTACTTTTTAAAGGTGTGAAAGGATAGTGAGACCAAAAAGTTTGAGAAGGACTGATCTAGATGAGAAGCAGGCAACTGATGAGAAAATTACAGTTTACTGTGATAGACTCTGTGTAGACGCAGACTCTAGGTGCAGTGAAAACACATTAGGAGTCGTCCCACCTAGACGCAGGGCCCCTAAGTTGAATTTAGAAGCATTGGTCAGAGTTTTCCAGACTTCAGAAACCATAGAAGGAAGAAAGTTACAGGCTCAGAACTCCTCTTTCTCTGGAAATTATGTGGTGAACAACAGCTATTTAAGCAAACCATGAGAAATGATAAAAATGTGTTTTGAAATATCCAAAGTGTATTAAAAATATTCAGGGTGTTTCAAACACTCCTGGTTATCATCCACCAATGATAGGTACTTACTGATTATTAATGTGTATTATGTACAGTGCCAGACACTGTAATGCAAAAAAATGTGCTAAGCTTTCCCTTAATGAGTTTGCTTTGAAATGGTTTAATAATTTTTAAGAAAATACATATTGAAATGGGTTGCTATTTATCTCCTACTTTGTAATGCCTTTGTAATTTTTAAAGTCATATAAGTAAAGTTTGTGAATTTTTGAAATTAAAAAAATAGATACTTTTCCATATATATATATATATGTATATATATATATGTATTTCTTCTCATACATGTTTTCCAGAATTTCTGTTGTATGACCTGGAATTTTGTATTCTGAAATTCTAATTCTGAAAAAGTAGACTCTGTATACATACAAACAGTTGGTTTGGCCTTAAAAGGAAACAGAATCTTGACCAGTGTTTGATTATTAAGTTCATTCTTAAATATCTTTGTCTTGATTTTTTTTTTTACAACTCGCTTAAATGTTTGAAAGACAAAATAATTGCAGCGTAACCTGTCTTTCAAAATTATGATTTCATGTGTATTACTAAGTAAATATGAGTCCTCAGCTCTTCCTGCTTCTTGAGAAAAAAAAATAAATTAGATACAAAACTAAAATAATTTTTGAGGAAATTTATGGTTACAAAAGAAAATAAAGCCTAACTTCTGATGCCTTTTCTTTTTTCAAATTGGCTTAGAATTCTGCACTAGATTATGTGAAAGATTCTTTTGCTCTCTTACTTTGTAGTTATCTGTTAATGTGTCTGGTTTTGCTAGCATATAAAGGTCAAAACAATTGCAGTATTTTTATCATTTACCCTCCCCCCAGCACTGTAGTTAACATTTAGAAACGGTTGGCTGAATGAGAGAATAAAGGGCTGTAATAACAGCACTCAGAGCCTTTGCTTTCCCGTTTACTTATCCAGGAGTTGGAGGAGCTTTAGAAAATGATGATCCTTCCAAAATGGTTATGGTGTTGGCTGCGACTAATTTCCCCTGGGACATTGATGAAGCTTTGAGAAGGAGATTAGAAAAAAGAATATACATCCCTCTCCCAACAGGTATGATTCCTCCCTTCTGTTACATTGGGGGTGTTGTATTGCTTCCTGTTAACTATTTCTGTGTACCTAAATGTTTATCCTATTGTGAGTCTGCTCAAAGAAGTTGACAGTATCACAAAGCCAGTTTGGAGTAGATGGAAACAGAGGCCACAGTACTCTATTGGAACTTCTGCTGAAGTTTCTCACGTTTCAGGAAATTCTTACGTGTGTTAATAAATTTGGTAGCTCTCAAGTTTTTACTTTTAAACTTTTGAATAGTCTTCATTAAACTTCATTTAAGTGATTAAAAAGTTCTCTTGTGGTCTTTTTCAAAATACGATGCTTTGAAAATGTGATTTCATTTAGTTAATGAATATTTAAGTTTTCTTTTTCTTTTTTTGTCTTTTTGAAACAGGATCTTGCTGTGCAGTTCAGGCTGGCCTTGAGCTCATTTTGTAGTTAAATTTTCTTAAGTGAATTTTTTATTTATCTGTAGTAAAATGTATATATCAAGGATATAATTCATGAGTTTTGATAAGTATATCCTCCAGCTTAATCAGTATCCTATTCAAGATGTAGGGCATTTGTGTCACCCCAGAAAATTTCTGTATCCCTATTAGGTAATTGAGATTTCCATCAGACATTCTCTTTACCTGATTTTTTACATTCACCTGATTTTAACACATTCACCACATGTTAGTTTTACTTCTTCTTAAACTTCATATGAATTGAATTGTAACAGTATATAAAGTCTGTATATCTAATTACTTTCATCTAAGTTAATATTTTTGGGTTTTATTCATGTGATTATTTGTATCATTATTCTTGACATGATTACACCATAGTTTATTTGGTTGATAGGCATCTGAGTTGCTTCTAGATTGTGGCTATTACAATGAGCTATAAATCTTCCTACACAAATCTTTTTTATGCATGACTGTTTTAAATTCTTTTGGGTAATAAGAATAGAATAGATGAATCATAGGAGTTACATTTTTAACTTAAGAAAAAACTCAAGCTGTTTTCCAGAGAGGTTATACCATTTCATACTCTTAGGATCAGTGAATGAGAATTCCAGTACTCCTATATCCTTGCCAACATTTACTCTTATATTTTAACTTTATTCATTCTAGTCAATGTCAACATTGTATCATTAAGATTTCAATTTGTGTTTTCTTGATAACTTACCTTTTCATGTGATTATTGACCCAGGTTTTTGAGTTATTTTCTGTGTTATTAACACTTTATATAGTTATTTGTCAGATGTGTGCCTTATGAATATTTTCTTCCAATTTATAGTTTGCTTTTTAGTTTTTTTTTTTAATATTCTTTATGACATAGAAATTTTTATTTTTATTAGTACATGCTGGCAGTACATAATTATGTTCATCATAGGGATTGGTACCTGTATTGTGAACACATCTTAATTCTTTTTATGTCCTTCCCATGGCATCTTTTGAGAAGCAAAAATTTTTAATTTTGGTGAAATTTGGTTGTCAAGTTTTTCTTGTTTTCTTTTGTGGTGGTTGTTTTAAGTGCTGTGCTTTTTATGTTTTCAGAAATCTTCACTTACTCCAAGGCTGCATGGTTTTTCCTTATAGTTCATTTTAGAAACTATATTTAGATCTGATTCTCCTTAAATTAATAGAATATGTGTGTGTGTGTGTGTAGTGCAGGGGTTGGGTTTTATTTTTCATATATGTATCCAGTTCTAGCACAATTTGTTAAAAGGATTTTTCCTTTTCATTAAATTACTTTGGCAGCTTTGTTGATATCTTTTGCTGTATATGTATAGATCTACTTCTGAATACTCTTCTGTACTACTAATTTTTAAAAAATAGATATAGATCTTTCTATTCAAGATACTACCGGTTCTTTTTTGAATAAACTTTGGTAGTTTATGTCTTTCAAAGAATTTATATATTTCTTTTAAGCTGTCAGTTTATTTGGTTTTGACGTAATGTAAATGTAGAAGCTGGCCAAACAGTATATGTGATGCTGTTGATTTCATGTCTGGTTCTGGAACTTTTTTTTTTTTCCTCTGGTACCAGGAATCAAACCCATGACCTTGCACTTGCCAGGCAGGCGCTGTGCCACTGAGCTGAACCCCCAGCCCCTGGTTCTGGAACTTGCAGTCAGTCAGAGCAAGCTTTCAGGAAAAGAGGGTAAATATGAAGTGGTGGAAGTAGTAACAACCTGTAACCTATGGGAATAAGTGGAACCCAGGAGTATGGATTGGAACCCATGTTGGGCTCTCATTCTTCTAAAGTTCCCAACTGTGATTACTTCAGTTTCCTATAGAAGCAGTTTGCTAGGTTTATACCTGGCTTAGGAGTTTAAAAGCTGAAGGAGGAAATACGGCAAGAGCTGAAAGAACTGGAGACACGTTGCTTCCCTACACTAAGATGAACCAGTGGGGAAGAAGCAGTATGTACCAACTTTCTCCACTGATTCATTTCTGCCTTTTGAATCTCACATATAATAATCTCCACTCCATTAACCCAAAGGTGTGCAATGAAGAGAACCCTGGGAAGTGAAGTTACAACTTAAGTTGCTGCCATACAGACCCGCATATCTCATTTTCCTTTCATGGACTATAGGATCTGTGGTGATGGCTCATTTTTCGCTCCTAATATTGGTAATTTATTTTATCTTGATTGTTCTTGATCATCTTTGCTAGAGATCTATCAATATTAATAGTCTTTTCCAAGAACGAGATTTTTGCTTTGTTAATTTTGTATTTCCTATTTCATTTATTTCTTCTCTCATTTTTATTATTTTCTCCATTATATTTTGAGTTTAATTTCTTTTTCTGAAGTTAAGAACTTAAAGAATATTGCTTTTAAACATTCTTTTTTTCTTCCTTTTTTTCTTTGCAATATTAAAAGTCAAATCCAGGGGTATTCTGTCTCTGAGGTAGAACCCTGTCCCTTTTAAATTTTGAGACAGGATATTCCTCACTTGTCAAGTTGCCCAGGCTGGGCTGGAACTAGCCATCTTCCTGATTCATCTTCCCAGACTGCTGGGATCACAGGTGCGTGCCACCATGCCTGTCAACATTTTAAAGCTTGAAATTTCTCTTAAAACACTGCTTTGCTTATATCTCACAAATTTTGTTCTATCATATTTTTTTCTGCTATCCAGTTAAAGTATGAATATAAATTAATTTTTCCTTTTTTAGGTTCTTGGGTTATTAAAAACTATCCAGTCTATTAACCAAATATTTGGGGACATTCTAGATATCTTATTGTTGAATTCTAATTTAATTCCATTAGAGTCAGGAAAATATCCTGTAAGGTGCCAGTTTTTTAATTTTATATAGACATATATTTGTATTTTATTGAGATTTATTTTTTGGTTCAGCATATATGGTATCTTGGTGAATGTTCTCTTTACAATTGAATAAATGTTTATTCTGTGCTTGTTTTAATATTCTATAAATGTGAGTTCAAGCAGGATCATTTGGTATTATTATTCATATCTTAAGGTCCTTGCTGATTTAGTAATTCAGAAATCAGTCCTCTGGACAGTCTTCCAAAAGCTGAACTGTTGGAAATTTGTCCCACTCTTCTCTTTGCCTTCCAACAGACAAGCTGGACAGTTTTCTGCAGTCATACAGGGCCACACCAGCTTTTGTGTGTTGTGTCATAAGTTGCTAGTGCTGCAGCAGCTGCTAAGTTCTTTTGTTCTCAGTGGCCTCAAGATCCAAGTGTGCCGGTTCCTCGTCAGAGCTTGGTCTGGTGATACCGAAGCCAGTCCTTTGGGCAGCCTCCTGGAAAGCTGGAGTGTTGGGTTATGTTCCACTCTCTTTTCCCTCTGAACAGAAGCTGTGAGTTGAACTTTTCTTTCTGGTAGCAGGGAGCTATGTTGGCTTGGGGAAGAGCCAACTCAGCTGAACTGAAACTGCTTTTCTCACCTATTTTAAGTGTAGTCCTAGGCTCTGAGCTTGCCTGGAGTCCTGGGACTTCTTTACTGGTTTCTGAGGTTCTCATAAAGATTTTATGAACCCTGCAATGTAAGTCATTGTCTCCTGTTATCAGTGGCGATCAGCGTCCGGGGCGTTTTGTGTCATTGTCTTTCCGCATCACTCCTATAAAGCTGTTACCTATTGGTTGTGGGACAGCTGTTCTCCAGCGCCTCCCAAACAGCTTACCGTCACTAAACCCTACTCCTTAACTTTTGCTTTCATCTGTATTCATCAGCAAACTTCTAGTTAGCTCTATGTTATTGTAGGACAAGTGTGAAGATAAGTAATGTACCATCCTTGTTAGAGAGCTGCCTTGGCAGCCAGACAAGTACTGAGCCCGACTGAACTGAAAGGAATGTGAGTGTAGGAGCTCCTCACAATCTCTTGAGTGAACACTAAGGAATAGTAAATTCTGCCTGATGTGCTTATGGAAGACCTTATGGAGGGGGTTGCATTTTAACTGAATTTTCACAGAGAACAATCAGAAACAGCAGCATGGTCCCTTAAAGTGAGTAGGTACATAGGGATGGTGGTAGGACAAAAGGGTCGAGAAGAGATAGAACAGTGAAGATTAGGGAAGATGAGACCTGAAAGAATAGTTTTGAAATCCAGAGAATGAATAATAGAAAGAAAAATGATACATAATGGACCTCTATTTGGCCATAGAGAATGACAAATTTGAGACATTTGTAGGAAAATAGAAGCACCTGAAGCACCTGGAAAATACAGTGTTGAGTGAAATAAACCAGACACAAGCTTAAATACCATTTACTATCTCTCATTAGAGTGAGGCAAAGTACAAATAAAATGGTAAAGGACTGATAGAAGTGAACAAGAGGGTGGATCTCTTGCAGTAGGGAAGTGGAACAAGGAACAAGGACTATGGGAAAGGGAAATAAGTAGAAAGATAGGCCATGTACAGGAACCTAATAATCTCAAGGAATGTAAACAGTACATTCTATTTTTTTTTGGGGGGGGGTACCGGGAATCGAACTCAGGACCTTGTGCTTGTCAGGCAAGCACTTGTGCCACTGAGCTATATCCCTGTCCCCCTATAACATGATCTAAGATCAGTAAAATCAGAAAGAATGAAAATTGGGATAGGAATTAGAGAAGAAGGGAGGGAGGAAGGAAGGATTTAAAAAGGAATTACAAAAGAAACAAGCTGTAGTATGTGCATGCACCCACTCCCCAAGATGATTCCAAACTGCATGTACTACAAACATGCACTAAACAAATTTAAGAAGTTTTTTAAGAAAGTGAAGTGTACCAAAATTTAAAAATTGAAGATTGCTTTATGAACATAAGCATTTATGAATAAGAAATTTCTAATTGAAAGAGGCAAGAAGTAATGAGAAGATAAAGCCACCCAAAAAGCATATTGTAAGTTGCATAATTTGTATACTTTGATTAAACATTAGACTGTGAAAAAAAATTAGAGTGTGATACCAGAAAACGTCAGCGTGTCAGTTCTACCCTGAGTTACTCCTAAGATGAAACGTTCCATACTGGCCTAAAGAAGCTGAGACCTTTTCACCATTATATGCACATGTATAGGAATGTACACATTAGCATTGTTCATTACAGCGTGTAATGCTGCTCAGGAGGCTGAGACGAGATGATTACAAGTTCAAGTCCAGGCTGGGCAACCTAATACTTAGCAAGATCCTGTCGCAAAATAAAAAGTAATAAAAGGGTTGGGAATGTAGCTTAGTGCTCAGCGTGAAGGCTGTGGGTTCAATCCTCAACACCATGGGGAAGAGCAAAAAAAAATTCTAATATGATGGATGAATTGTAATATAATCACACAGTGGCTGTTATGGGCTAACGTGTGTTCTCCCCAAATTCTAAACATGCTGGAAGTCCTAAGCCCAGTACTTCAGAATGTCGCTGCGTTTGGGGATAGGGCCCTGGAAGAGATGGTAAAATGAGGTCCTGTGAGTGGGCCCTGAGCCTGCATGGCTGGTGTCCTTAAGAGATGAGGACAGGCGCAGACCTAGAGAAAGACCACATGAACACGGTGCAGGAGGAGGGCCATCTGCCAGGCAGAGAGGCGGGCCTCAGGGTGAAATCGGCCCTACTGACATCTTCCTTGGCCCTGAAGTTTGTAGGCTCCAGAACTGTGAGCACGTTACTTTATGCTGGTTAGGCCAGTTAGTCTTTGATATTTTACTGTGGTAACCTGAGAAAACAAATACAGTGGAACATCACACAGCAACAGAAGTGAATTACATGTGTATGTGAGAACGTGTATCTGAATCTTAAAAACTGCCTGAGCAAGAGAAGCAAGATGCAAGATACAAGTACATACAATGAGTGAGCTTCCATTCGTGTAAAATTTAAGAAGAGGTAAAACTGGGTACACAAATTAGGCGATAAAGTGAAAAGAAAAAGTAAGAAATTACTTCCATAAAAGGAACAAAAGTAACCAGCAGGGGGCAGGAAGGGAGGAACACACCAAGGAGCCACAGAGTTGTAACGCGCCAGTGCTTGTCCTAGAGGTGGCTTCACAGGTGTCTCCTTTGCCAATTACTGGATAAACCAAACATCTTAGTAAATGTTTCTGTACTCCAGTTATATTTTACACACACAAATGCACTGCCAAGACAGGGGAGAGCAACGCAACACAGAACAGCTGCTGTTGAAAGGGAGGCAGAGAGCATTTTTGAAACTTAGCACATAACGAGAAAAGGCACAGTAGGACACCTCCAGCGGTGGGACTCCTTAATCTCGGGAGGCCCCTGTGCTGGCTGCAGACCACCGTGCAGGTTCTCGGGACACCTGGCAAACTGCTTGCGCTAAAGATGTGCTGCATGCAGGTGGGTGGCAAAGCTGTCAGAAAGGAAGAGGGGCAGGGAGGCAGGTTCCGCCCACACTGCTACCGAAGGCTGCTGTGTCCCTGGTGCCCACATAAGAACTCTCGGTTTTGACAAGTGTTCCTCATTCACAGGTGAACACAGGTGAGCTAGTGTCTCTCAGGTCCTTTGGTCCCGGTGTGAGAATACCACTGTACTTATAAATTAAATGTTTTGCCGTGGTCAAGCCTGGAACCCTAAACACCAAGTTTAATGTATAATATTCTCCCGCAGTAATACAGTTCCACACAGCTAATTTCAAAGGAACTGCTCCTAAGTAAGGACCTGGTGGTTCTGAAACATGGCAGAAAGATCCTTTTTTTTCTTAGGAACTGTGTTCCTAAGATTCTAAGTAAGATTTATAAAGCCCTATAAAACTGAATTAACATTTAATAACCTTGTGAAAAGATTTAACAGGGGATTAATGTGTTAATAGTGTAAGGAACTGCCAGTGCTGTATGATGAGGTTAACCTGTGTGGTATCCTGAAGTCACATAAACAAGGACAGAAGCAACACATACCACTGCGTATATTCACAACTCCCCGTGAGCACACCAGGCAGTTCAGTGCACTAGACAGAGTGTGCAGTCAGGGCCAGACTGTGTGGCTCACATGCCTATTCTGAGCTGGATAGGGTACTCAACCCTCCTCAGCTTCCTTAAATATAAAATAAAGGTCAGAACAGAATCCAGCTCATCAGACTGTCACGACGGTTAAATGAGTCAGTACACATAAAACCTGAATGATAGTCAGCACTGCATAAATACTCAGTGCCTCTTCCCGCCCTCTCAACTATGGAGAGCCGGAGAAGACCCAGATTGCCCTCCGTGGAGAAAGATCTGGGAAAGCACAGACAGACACAGATGAACACACAGAAGTGAAGTCCATACGCATGACATGGGCCTGGCTAAAACTTAAACAGAAGAGAAGAAAGAACAGTCCAAGGAAACACAAGCATTGTAAGTAGATGGAAGTAGGAAGATATTTCTTCTAGAATGGGAAAACCAAAGGTTAGTAGAAGAGGTACAGTGGAACGCGAATAAATGCAAAGAGATAGAGGACACACAGGTGTGAACTTGAAGCAAACAGAACAGTTAAAAAAAAAAAGGGATTCTGACCCTAATGTGATAGGAAGCCACAGTCATCCAGAGTTGAAGAGACTGTTAGGGTGTATAGTTTAAGGGGTTCATCAAAAAGCAAACTGTAATTGGAGAGGGCTGGAGAAAGGAGTTCAGGGCCAGGGGTGTAGCTCTGTGGCACAGTGCCTGCCTGGCAAGTGCAAAGTCCCGAGTTCAGTTCCTGGTACTAAAAAAAAAAAAGAAAGACATGAGTTCATCAGGCTGACCGTGTGGCTGCTGCCGTGCTTTAGATGTGTAGAGCAAACAGAGAACTAAGGTAAGGACATCAGAATGTCAAGTGTTGTTTTGTAAAACTAGGGCAAGTGTTTTTCGTTAGAAGTATTTCTGGTTCTTGAATACACTCATACATTTCATAAAGGATCTCCACTGCTTTGTTCTCATAGCAGGTTATCCTCACAGTCTGTAAGGAAAACCGAGTTTTGTTTTTCAGCAGAGACGCGTAAGAAGTTAAGTGGTTCCGTAACTTACACAGTGAATTGGCCGTACTGGTGCACTCGTGTTACTGACTCATCTTTGTGTTGCTGTTTCTTTTCCTGAATGCTAATATATTGATTCTCAGCAAAATAGTTTGCTCTAACAACTAAAAATCTTCTTGCAGCAAAAGGAAGAGCTGAACTTCTGAAGATCAATCTTCGAGAAGTGGAATTAGATCCTGACATTCAGCTGGAGGACATAGCAGAGAAGATTGAGGGATACTCCGGTGCTGATATAACTAATGTTTGCAGGTACTTTTTTTAATGAGCTGTGATCTTAGACATTATAGATTTTACAAGACTGGATCTTAAATTCATTATAGTTAGCCCTTAACCCAAAAGTAACTGCCCATTTCTTTGACTCGTTTTCCTGTGTGTGTAATTTTTTTCCTTCCGTATAATTTCACTGATCACTATTAGGTAAATAATTACATCACAAAACTTGTATTTTTGATCCGTTGATTTTTAAGAAATTGTTTTGTTTAACTTGGTCATAATGACACTAACAACCTGTGGGAAACTTAGCTCTGTGTGTGGCACCCCGCATCAGCATGCAGGAGTGCCGCTCAGCATCAGTCAGCATGACTTGTCCACATGCGGGTGAGCAAGGCTGACCAAGTTAAGCTGTGGAAGAAGCATACACAATTTTTAAAATTTCCTTTTCAGTTCAGTGGCATCATAATTTTTAGACGGTTCACATCACTCAGTAAAGAGGATTTCTTTCTTTTACTTATTTTCCTAAAGTCGATTTCAGTGGCCTTTCTTCAATGGCCCAACATTCGTTCTCTCATTTTTCTGTATTTTTCCTATGTGCCTCTAAGGTTAGTGCTATACAGCAGACCCACATCAATACAGTCAAATATCTAAAAATTTGAAGGTTTGGTTGGCTTGGCCTTCCCAGTAGCTCTTTCGTGAGCATGAATCGCCTGCGTTCTACAGACCTTCATATTTATTTGCAGCAGAGATGCAAGTGGAATCAGGAGAGGTGTTTGTTGCTTTTAGATAGTCCATGTGCGGAATTCATGTTCACTATATGTGGACGTACTCTTGTTTTAGAGAGGAGCTCCTGGCTTTGTCCCCTCTAATTAGGTTGTAGAGAAGCTCATGTGTGATTTGAATCATAACATTAGCCATATGTTTGTTTCCATGTATGCAATTTAGTATTTCAGAGTTGACTTCAGTTTCCTAAACTTCTTGGTTGTTTTTGAGGCACAGTTAAGGAAAAGAAAATTCATTGCTCTCTGAGCTCATGAACTAGATTTTTATCATCCATTAACCGTCTATTTCATGTTTAAGTGTTTTGGATTCTGTTTTCGGTTCCCCTGAACCCTCAGGAAGTCTGAAGTGGTAAATTCTAAGCAGTATCAAAAAACCTAATACTTTGAATGCTTATAACAACTGAAAGTGTTGCAAACACTGCAGAAGTTACTGTTGACTGATTTTAGTTTATTTTCAGGGATGCTTCTTTAATGGCAATGAGGCGGCGTATCAATGGCTTAAGTCCAGAAGAGATCCGTGCCCTTTCTAAGGAGGAACTTCAGATGCCTGTTACCAAAGGAGACTTTGAGTTGGCTCTTAAGAAAATTGCTAAGTCTGTCTCTGCTGCAGACTTGGAGAAATATGAAAAATGGATGGTTGAATTTGGGTCTGCCTGAGTTTTTGTCAGCTCTTTCATTTCTGTCATTTTTGTTTATAAAAAAAAAAAAGTGAAGAAATTCCTGAAATTTGTTTTTAAACAGGTTTGGAATTTTTCTTTGGAAATATTTTCCCTTCGAGAAAAAAAAAAAAAACACAAAGAAAAATCTAAAACTACAAAAAACTAAATATAGATGAGAAATGAAAAAGGCTTGTGTAGAGTTTGGCTGGGCATGGTGGTTGCAAGCTGATAATTCCCATCTACACAAGAGATTGGAAGCCAGTCGGGGATACATAGCAAGACCCTATCTCAAAAAACCAAAAAAAACTGATAGAGTGTGATGGTCTCCCTCTCCTTCTATGTGGTGATGCATTGATATTACACACCCAAACTGGTATAGCAGGGAGGCTGAGGAACGCAGCAATGTACTATTTTAGGAACTTGTTTACAGAAGATTTAGTGAATCTATTTCTCAATTGAATTTGTTGGCTTTTGTTTTTGTTTTCAGTTCTTTACTTTGTGAACATGAGGTACTTATGTATATTGACCCCTCGCAGCAAAACTAAGTTTGTGTCAGATTCATTAATTGTCATTACCAGAAGAATGACAATAAGTTTTGGAGGAAATAAACTTGCTACTTAAAGCTTTAGAATTCAGTTCTTACTGAGCCTAACATATGGTTAAAATAGTTACTTCTCCCTTCCTCATCATTTTTTCTGTTAGCTATTTTATTATTTCTTGAAGATTGCATTAATAACTCTTCTTCATTATAGACTTCAAAATTTGTTTTCATTTTTCTTTCAGTACATTTGAACAGATTAAATATTTCAGCTCCAACACTAATTTTGTGGAACGCTACTTTAGTAGCATTAAAGTACTACTTTAGTACTTAAGATACATACTTTGTCATTCTAAACAAGTCCACCCTCTGTGGCTAGTGCAAAACAAACAAAATCTTTATACTTTCCCAGACAGCCTGTTTAATAGAAATTTGAAAATTTAAAAATTCTTGTTGGTCTAAGAATCTTATACACAGTAAGTTTAAGATAGAAATCTGATGTACTTATTCAGTTCAGCATGAATTAGGCAGTAAAAAGGACCCAGGAAAGGTAAATAGCATGTATCTAATCACAAATAGAGCATCATGAGACTCTTTGTAATTAATTATATTTACCCTGTTTATATTATTAGACATTCTGTGCTTAATGATGAGGCTTTTAAAAATTTGTATTCACTGGCATCCTGAATTCTCAATTTTAGGTAGCACCAACTGCTTTAAAAAATATATATAGCTTATAGACACTTTAAAAAAACTCTTAGTATCTTGCCTAAGAGATTTAATTTCTTTTCATACTAAGAACTATAACTGCCTTATGTTCTTTTCAGATAATTTAAGTCTGAGGCTAACTCCAGTATCCATGTGATACTATAAATTGCCCTTTTTCCTTTAAGAGAGAAATTGTAAGACTTCAGATCATAAAGAATTATGACTGTATCATAATTGAACTAATTCATCTTAAAGAAATGAGCGAAATTTCTGTTTATTCATAAACTTTTAAAATAAGTAAGTATTCCCGCTAAAATTATCTGCAAACTCTTGCCAGCCAGTAATATATTTTTGTCCTAAATTCTTAAGGATAATCATTAAAACATTAGTGTCATGATAAAACTTCTCTGTAACATTTCAGTTGGGTAGTAGGGCTTTTCTGAGTTTTGCAGTATTTTTTTTATTGAAGTATTTATTTTAGCATGCACTCAATTTTTTTCTGAATTCTTCATGGATAATGACGTGGTAGTTGTGATTCTTTCATTACCAGTTAAGCGGTGCTTGAGAACTCGGGCTTCGTAGAAGGTTATCCTTGCCATCTTCAGTGAGTCAGATGTGCTGTTTTATATCCTCCGTTTCTTATTTTGCTCTGTCAGTGAGTGGTGAAGGCTTTGTATACCTTAAACCTAAGGGATCTGGAAGAGATCCCTCCGGTGTTGGTTCTCTCTCACCTTTAGTATGTACCTGTGTTTATTGCAAAAGACAGTGAGTTGTTTCACCCAGAATGAGATAGAATTGTTTTGTGTTTTTTGGGGGGAGGGGGTGGTTTGTCCACACTGCTAAATAAGGCAGATGCATTAACAAAGTAGAAATATTTGGTTCCTTTACTCTGAAAACGATTGTTTTGACCTTTGTCATGTAATGATCTTCAGATTCAGTTGTAAGTTGTATGTAATTCTTCTTTGCAACTATCTGATCACACAGTTCTCTAGTGGGCAGACTTGTGATTGCTTACCGTGCGCAAGACATTGGAGAGAGAGAGTGAGAGAGAGAGTTCTGACTTGACACTTCGTCTCATTATTCTGTGTAGCTTCTGGCTTTTGCTGCCAGACCAAGAGTTTAGGTCGTATGTGGAGAGGCAAAGAATACGTGTGTGTTGAAAAGATAATAGGGAAAGTTTTTTCTCTCTTTTTTACTCTTAAATTAGTTTTAAAGTTAAAATTGATATCCATTTGGTTGAAAAGTATAAAGTTATTATAGATCTGTTTTAATGAAGCAAGTTTTACCGTTTTCCATACCTTAACTACCTGTGTAATTATGTTAAACGTGTATACATGTCCTTTTTTAAAAAAGGAAATTAATATTGGTGAGATATACCAATAAAGAAACAAATAGATCTTTAATGGAAGCTACAAGCTTTTAGTCATCCTGGTGGAAAACAGGGTAGTAGGACATCCCTTATCTTCTCAGTCAGGAGCGGTGTACCCACCCCAGAATGACTGAAAGACGTGCTAGGCTCTGGCACCTGTTTCAGTAACATCAAGACGCTGTAGAAAGGGCAACATGCCGTGTGCGAAGCGTGTAACTGGGCCTGGCTTTGAGTGCCTGGGATCGCAGCTTTTGTGTTGTGGTGATTGACTCTCAAGTATCTCAACAAATAGGCTGCAATCATTATGCAAAAAGTAAGCAAGCAGGTATCTGGTGAGGCTCATATGACCACTCTACTGATACCTCAGGGGAGAATGTGTGTATACAACCCAAATTCACTCTTTCACTTTGCCATGTGCAGCCGGTCTCTGCTGGGCATGAAATTCTCGAGTTCACTTGACTTCCCTCCTTGAAAGTCAGTTTCTGTTTGTTCTGAATCTGTGTTGAGAATAATAAAACAATAATTAGTTGATATAGTTACTTATGTCTCATTCCCCTCTCCCTGCAACTTGAGATAAAGTGAAGAACTAGGCAAGTTAGTTCATATTTTATTATTATTATTATTTTAAAGACAATAAAAAACAACAAAATAACAATATAGACAAAAACAAAACAACACAAAAACAAAAATGATACAGGGTTTCAAAACAAAGTGATAAGAATTCACAGTGGTGGTTATATTACATATTGTTATCTTGATGAGGTTGCTCAGATTACCAGGTGTAAGAGTGCAAGATGGGTCACATTTTAAGTGAGCTTTGGTTCCTTCAGTGTTATCTTGGTTACTGAGTCTTCTTTCATATAGAGTCCCATTTTTCTTTTTAAATTCTTGGGTATATCCTGTATATTAGAATTCAGATATTAAGGGTCTGAATTCTGGCCGTTTCTAAGACTACTTGTTTGAAGAAAAAAAATCACTAACGATTCTTTGTGTCTTTGTTGCTTTGCTGGTTTGGTTGTGTAATGTGTTTACATCCCACTTACTGTGACGCACACTTACTGTAACACTTATGTGAATCGAAGAACACATGACAGGAAAAATAGGAGTTACAGCTGGAAGATATGTTAGTTGGATAAAGATATTTAAACCTCAGATGTTTTGCTGTCGTCTCCACTAATTATTTTTTATAGGAAGACCTAAAAAGTCTGTTGTAATTGCTGTAAGCTTACTTCTTTATGCTTTTAAAGTGGGCTTTTCATACTTATTTATTTTTAGATATTTGCTTTTAATATTATCTCAATGTGGAAACTGAATGAGTATTTAAAAATGAAATCTGTTTAATAATGGATATGTTTTTACACATTCACCTCATTAACAGTAATTCTTTGACTTTTTGTTAAGTCTTTTGGCTCTGGACAACTCTTTTTTTTGGCACCAGGAATCGAACTCAGGACCTTGCGCTTGCCAGGCAGGCACTGTGCTGCTGAGCTATATCCCCGACCCTAAACAACCCTTCAGCTTTGATGATGTTTCTAAACATGTAACAGGTGACTGTTAACAAGTGACTGTTTCTAACAGGTGACTGTTAATAAAAACAGGAAGAAATGTTCACTTAATGTCACAAAAATTGTTTTTCTCATTTCTTGAGGAAATAAAATTAAAACCTGGATATTGTTTTATCAGTAGCAGTGTGTAAGTTTTTTACCTTTAGCACAACAAGTAGGGAATTAGTATAGAGGTGTTTCCCTCCTGTAAAAAGGCTTTTATTTGATGTTATGTATAAAATGCACTCTCTCTTCACAGCGTCTGAAATGATTAACTGCGACTGATGTTTGGAAAGCCTGAACCTACATGTTTGTGATTTCCGCGTCCTACCTCAGTTGACCATGCTTAGTTTTAGGTGGGAATAAATTGGATTAAATTTAGTCAATCATCTATGCAGATTTTCTTTTACTTTATTCTATTTTTATTTATTTGGTTTTTTCTTTCACTTTTTTATGTGTACATATTTGCTATACAAGTTGATCACATTCATCATAGATTTTTACCTGTATAGAATGTATCTAAAGTCTTCCTTCTTCCTCATGCCCTTTCCATCCCTTCATTCCTTCTTCCCCTCCCCATTTACAGAAGGTTTTTACCACGTTTTCCCCTGTGTTCTTTTTTTGCCTTTTCCTTTCCTTTCCTTTTCCCTCCCCACCTCTCGTTTCCCGGCTATTTGAACATGTCCTTCCTATTTCCCACTATCTAGCCTCCATTATGGTGTTTACCCTTCGGCTTTCTCACACAAGAGAATGCAGTATTTGAACTTGTGTGTCTGATACATTACACTTAAGAGTATGGTCTCAAAGTACATCCATTTTCCTACAAAAGACTCAAGTTTTTCTTTATGGCAGAGAAGTACTCCATTGTATAGAAATACCACAATTTCTTAATCCATTCATATGTTGATAGACATATAGGC